AAGAAAATTAAATTGTGGCTCTGTATGTAAACAGTTTACAATTTCTGAAATGAGAGGCAGAGGAACCTGGTAGGTTACCGAGAGACCCACTATAGAGGGGTGTCAGAGCACGTTCCTGGGGTGATGACCAGGGAAGATTTCTCCACAAGAATGATGAGACAGAATGTTCCAGAATATTTATTCATGGCTGTTCTACCAGTTCTTTGTGAAACCTCTTTTAGTTTGATCCTGCTATATTTGTTGTTGTGTGTATGTGTTTTGATTTTGTAACTTGAAATGTCATTTAAATTTGCACCATTATATAACACATATATAGAGGAGCTGATTTGGAAATACTGGAACTAACAGCCTGAGATATTGTCATTGCCGTATATGTAACTTCCTCCCCCAATTGACAGCAAACTTTTGGAGGAATTACATGGTGCCTTATACTCCTGTACTCTAGTGGCTAACATAGCACTAATGAGGTAGAAACCTGAACACAAGAATGAAGGACACATTTGAAATCTTGTACCATAACATAGTCTGTGGGGGAAAAAAAAAGATCAAAAGCTGAAAGTCCTAGTGTACCTTGAGGAATGTTTTATTGGTCTACATAATATTGCATGGTCATATCTATGGAATAGTGCTTTGGAAGTTGATCATGCTTGCTATATGATGACCCTTATCCTGTGACTTTTTCATACATAAAACTGGCATGATAGCTGGCTCATGACATCATTCACTCTCAAACCAAACCATTGGGATGAATGTTACCTTATAAAAACAATTTTTGAATATATAATAACAGTTTCTTTAAGCTAAGTTGGATGTTTAGTGAAGTGACCCTATTTCATTCTTAATAATGAAAAAAACAGATTCCTGTATGTTCAAAAATCTCCTAATGCACTCCTCTCTTAAGCAAAATGAATTAGTTAACACAATCACATGCCTTTGAACAGTAAGAGATATGAATCTGTGTTTCTAATCATGGGATTGAATAGCAGCAGACACATCAGCCTACCAGACTGATGAAAGAGAATGGACAGGATAGTGCAATGTAGAATTGGACAGCAATATTTTTTGAGGTTTCTAGATCTTAGCTCTTAAAAAATAATTCTGTTAAAAAAATTTCAGGAAATGTAAGAGACACCAGTAAATAGACATATGATGCTATTCCACTGTTTATGGATAATTGAATAAGGTAGTAATAATTTATTGTGTACAGCAGCAGCTATGCTTCAAGAAATTACAATCCATGTTTCTTGTTAACTTGATTTGCAGAATACGCTTCCCACCACTCAAATCTCTAAGGAATGACATCCAGCTCCTCATTCTGATACAAAGTTCTAATGTGTAGATTCTTAGCTGTTGAGCACCAGATAACCTGTTATGTGTTCCTGTGGATCATGGCACCAAATCATGATGTTACTATCAGGAATGGAAATGTTGATTATCAAATAATCTCATTTTCTTTGTTTATGTGTTTATTGGTGATTTTATGGTGCTGGGGGTGAAACCCATAGTTTCATACATGCTAAGCAAGTACCCTACTGCTGAGTCACATCCACAGTTCAGTAACCTTGTTTTCCAATGAAAATATTTCAATGATGGGCCCAAAATTACTGCCAAGGATTAGAAAGCAGATTTCAACTCAGATAGGCTAATTTCTCAACCAAATAATACTTTTCTCTATTACTGGTTGAGGAAACAGGGCTTTAGAGAGAATAATTTGACCATGGTTGTTTAACCTGGAAGCATTGAGTTAGCATACACAGAAAGATTTTCTGGCTCTAGAACCCAACTGTATCTACTTTTTTCCATTGTCCATTGAACAAATCAATTCCCTTGAACTTTTAACTTCATAGATCCAGTTTTAGTTAAAGGTAAATAAGATGTAAATCCATATATGGTCCCACTTGGGAATGAATCTTCCCTCCTCCTCAGCCTACCAGACTGTTGCAAATGAATCCAGCTCATTTGGAAATCCCTCAGAGCTAAGCTTCTCTAGCTAAAGCTATTCTTTCCCATCCTAAGCCTGGCATCAGCAACATCAGTCAGTAAAGCTGACTTTTGCCATGGTGACATGGGTATACCTGGCTTCCCAATATTTAGCCAGGTTGCAGGTATTAGTGTGAATAGCTATAAGATAGCTGAAAAAAAAAATAGAAAGTGAGATAAAACAGGATTGATCACCTCTTTATTTTCAATTTTATTCTTTTTCCAGAAGCAAAAGTATTCAGAGAACATAGGGTAGCTTTGAAAAGAAATCCACTATGACGTTCTAGGTTTGAAACAATCTCCTTTCCTCTTCTCCTGTGTCCTGTGCTTGCAAGTAGGGCTTGAGATGTGTATTAGGTGAATTGTGGGATATGCTTTGAAGTTCTAAATTTTCTCTTGTTTTTCTCCCACATATTTCATGTACTTAAAAGTGCTTGTTAGTGATTGAAATCTTAAAGGCAAAATTTACCCTTGCAAGCCAAAAGATGGAGTTATCAATGTTATAAGTGACCTTAAGACAAAACTTGACTTCCAATATAACTTCCTTTTACTTCTTGCCAAAGATAAAATATGATTCTGGCAAAATCAGTTGATGGTTACATTCATCAATTAGATGAATGGATGTAAGAGTATGAATACTTACACTTAGATATGTATGAATATGAATACTTATCCTTAGAAGGAAAATGTAAATACATGCAATTTAATGATGTTCACATTTGTATATCAGCTTGGATACATGGAGAATAGGGGATGAATAGATAGATAGATAGATAGATAGATAGATAGATAGATAGATAGATAGAAAAAAAAGAAATAATAGTATCTAACTACTTTCCTTATTTTTATTCTTTACCTATCTACCAGGGCAGCTTTGAAATAAAAACTTGTAAATGGGCTTGAGGTTTCAAGCAATCATCTCTCCTATTGTCCCTTACAATATGTTTGAATTTTGGGGTTGTGGTAGATGTTTGCTAATAAAGAAATAACATGTTTAAAATATCCTGGAACAAAGCAGTAACACATCTTCTGTTATTATAGACTAGACATAGTTTTCCTTTTATTCTTCTTGTAAGCATAATGGCTATGTGAAAACTGGGCATCTTTATTCCTCCCTTTATGTCATTTCAGTATTCAGTGATAAGTTTTCTTTGCTTATTTTATCAATATTTGTCTAAATGGTTGCCAAAATTTTTTGAAGTTTTAGATTAATTACTTTTGTTATAATATTATCTTTATAAATAAGAATCATGTCCTATTATTATTTTTTTAAGTGAAAATCTGATAACATTGACTGTTTTTGCATTTTAGAGAAAAATGTAATCCTGGCTCAGAGAAACATTGGGGAAATGTGGGTTATCAAACAGACTTAAGACGTGTCAGACTGTTTGAGCATGATTTAATTATATGGTCCAGGAGGCATTTCTTTTGTAGAGTTGGAAAATGTTTTGGAAATAATTAAAACTGAATCTTTTCTTTCTACTTTAAATATGTTGAAAGTGAGGAATAGGGAGATGAAATAACTCGCTTCAAGTCATGTACAGAATTGATGGTAGAAGAAGAAGTAATCTAAGGTTCCTAGGTAGTCTCTTCTGCGTTTTTTTCCTGTTAAATTTTGCCAATAGTCCTCTCCCTGCCTCTGAGTAGTGAGGACTAATAAGTAGTGATACTTTGAGCATGTTTGCCAGTCATTAGTTAGTGTCTGGTAGATATTCCTTGAGTTATTTCCTTACTTTAAGGACCTTAGTTTACCCATTTTTAAAACTAAAAGGGTGGGAAAGGAAAAAAAAAACACTTGATTTCTATGTTAGATTTCTTTTCAGCTCTGAGAATCTATGAAGAGTAATAATGCAATTATGTGGGCAAGTTTCTCAAATGACAAAAGCTTTTCAAGTCTTCCGATTTCCTCTTTTGCTTTGTGAAGATGTTCAGAATTAAATTGCATGTCCAATTGCAGTAAATATTTGCCCAGGTTACTGTAACAGACTGTTACAGACTGAATGCCTCCAGACAGTGCCATATAACTGCAATTTTTTTTTCATATTAACAACCCTGAGGCCTGTGTTGCAGGTGTTACTGTCCTGATTTTGTTGTAATTGCTGTCATCTTAACTGACTATAACCTTGAACTTTGTGAAGGTAAAATGACTGATCCAAGCTCTTTGTTGGCAGAAATAGGTTTCAAATGCAGATCTCTAAACCTCTAAAACCCAAATTCCTCTCTTTTCTCATTGGCTTCCATGTTTTCCTGTCTTATTGTTTCTCTTTGATTTAGAGATCTTCATCTCTCTGTATTTTTTATTGTAAAACTTTTAAATTATTTTTGTCCAATAGAGGTAACATGGAGAATGAATAATTAAAAACTGCAATTAAGCACCTGCACAGGAAGCGTTGATCACATTGTTTCAGCCTTCTTAATGATGTTGTACTTTACAGATGCTTGTTATGTATATGTCTTATTTTTAAACAAGATACTGACAGTTTTTTGAGAAAATGATCTATGTTGTCATTTCATAAAGGATATAATGCAACAACTATTTGCAGCATTTACATCGAATTAGGTATTATAAAAATCTAGGAATTATTTAAAGTCTATGGGTGGATGTTAGTGGGTAATATATCAATACTACACTTTTTAAATAAAAGGGTCTTGAGCACATACAGATTTTGGTATGGTATTCTTGAGGATATCATGCAACCAAGTTCCCACTGATGTGGCAATAAGACTCTATTATTAATTTTAAATGACATAATGGACATTTAAGGCTTTGTATAAAGCCTGTGAATGAGAACTTCAAAAATTTAGCTATTTAGATAATTTGCTCTGACACTAAGTCTGAGGAACAAAAACTCTCTGGTGACACTCTACATAAGAAAAGCATTCAGGTAGTGTTTACTTGTTGCACTTTGCATGGGATGGTGATAAAGAGTTACACATTTAATGACTCATTTATACTCTTTGCTTGCTCTTCTTTTGACCTTCCTTGTAATGTCTCTTGCTTTGGGTTATTGTCTGAGCAGAAGACAAGATCTGGATGTCAGTACAGCACAACAACACAGAGCTAACCCATGTGAGGGGTGCCAACCCAGAGAAGCCCTATGCCATGGCCTTGGACTACGGTGGCAGCATGGAGCAGCTAGAGGCTCTGATTGATGGCTCCGAGCACTGTGAGCAGGAAGTGGCCTACCATTGCAGGAGATCCCGCTTGCTCAACACGCCTGGTAAGTCTCACCCTGACCTTGTGCTTCTTCATAGGCCAAAGTGGGAGGTGGCCTCAGTAGAACAGATGAGTCTCCCAAACCCAGAATATTAAAAAAAAAAAAATGGGTGTTTATCCAAAGGGGCTTTATAGTTGCAGTTGTTTACTCTACAGAGAGAGTTGCAGCCAGAAAAGGACTGATTGTCTACAAGCATTGGATTTGATATACAAGGTATGATCTGGGTGAGTTCTATAGATTCACCTTCATCTCCAAAAAGAAAATGTGGACAACATCCATCCTGCAACAGTGGTGAGAATACAGAGCTTCTTGAGAGAAGAGGCACTGAAAGAGACCATTTGCACTAGCTTTCTTGGTGATGGTGGTAAGAGATGCTCTTTCTGAGAGAGGGCATAGAATGTGATGAGGCATCAAGAATCTCAGCACATTTATCCAAGAGTGATGAGCTATTCCTGGTGAAAAGATGCACACAAGAGAGCATTGTTAGGCAAGGATGCCAGAAACACCGGCAGAGAGCCATGCTCTGTGTTCACAATAATTATTTTACCTGAAGAGTGCAGACCTTAACAGAAATGACTCCTTTAAAAATAATTTTATTTTAGCAAAAAATGGACCTATTCTTCTTACTTCTTCTTTTGTCTGTGGTTGATTTTTTTTTTCATTTAGAATGAATGATTTACTTATTTAGTAATGTGTTTTTAAAAGTAAAGAGAAAAGAGAAAAAGTCTAGGACTATTTACCCAAACCAGCTTCTTGGAAAATGTCAAGAGGAGTCTGTCATCAGTTTGTGCTTGCTATGGGAAAAAAATAACACCTATTGGGGGGAATGTCAGTCCATCATGTGTTTCAAGGCAGAGAAAGCCCACAAGAACCCAAAAGATGGGTATCATAGTTCCTAGTCTCAGAAGCTTAGAATTTGGTGATTAGAGGTTAGGAATTTCAAAAGGGTGGAGAAAAAAAAAACACAGTGAAATGTCAACAAAGGGGAAGAAAGAGAAGCCTAACTAAAACAATGTACTGCCTGGCTGATCTAGAATCTTCAGGGAAGACGCTGTTCCACATAAGTGAATTTTCCAGATAACTGTCACTTATCCTTTTAAACACCAAAAATATTTTCAAAGAATTTTTAACTGTTTGAAATGAAAATCTTTTTCAAATGGATTACACGCTCCCTTGCCTTCTTAAATGGAGAATTCTGAACATAAAATGTAACCTTTTCCTGATGACTCAAGATCATCATTGTGAAAATCAATTATTGTACTCTCTTTGGATGCAGTCATACTTGCAGAGCTGATTAGATTGTAGGCACCTATTGGTGCCCCCTTTAAGAATCCTCAGACATAGTACCCTGCGGGATTCAATGTTTATTCATATCTCTCACCCTTGGATGTCAAGGCTGCACCTGCCAATATCAGCATTTTGTCAAAACATTTATCTCCAGAAACTACTCTACCTACTTTTGACTGTGTAGTCTCTAGTTATCTAAGAATTGGGTTTTGTGGAATTACAGGGAAAATGAGAGCATGCTCATTCTAACTTTGGAAGGTCCTTTAAAATACTCATTCTGTGATATCCAGTTGGTTATACCACCCTGTGTGTGTGTGTGTTTCCAAAGTTCAACTGTCTTAAATTCTCTGAATAGGAAAAGCATGGATTTGGTAGAAGCCTTACTGGGAGTGAGGACTTGATTCTGTCCTTATCAGTCCTTGTATAAATTGCTCATTTCTGACAGTTCACTTTTACCACATAAAAAATTTACATTTCGCCTGAGCTCTTAAGCCTGGTGAAAGAGCTGAAGGAAAGATCTAGTCCACCCTCCTTGTTCTAGGCCTGGTTTGTGTTAGGTGTCCAGCAAAAACTAAGGTCCACATCATTCACATCTTCCATCCCAGCAGGGAAGGTCCAAAATCTGGGTCATAATGGGAAACATTCTCAAAGGAGAATTTTATTTATATTCAAATTGTGAAAATAGAAAAAACAGGTAATAATTATATGTTGACTGACTTGATTAGGAAACTCATACGTGCAGATAATCTCAACTCATGAAGATGACTTCTGTACCATTCTGGCCTGCATCCTTCCAAACAAATTTCCATGTGTGTATTCACAGAAATATATCAGAATAAAGTATTAGAGCTTGATGCTTTTCATTAGGTCTCTTTTTACCCATGGATTTTGAATCAAAGGAGGGAGATAAAGGAGGACCCTAGGCACAGATGCAGTATTTCCTTTGTCCTGGAGGGTTGGCTTGAAGATTGCAATATGGGCACTTATGTCCCTCAGCTTCCAACTCCAGATAGGCACTGCTAGTGGGAGGGCAGTAGAGCACTCACGCAGACAGCATCATAGGGAAGTGGCCCTTGCCTCACCCTCCCACTACTGGGAAAGAAACCACTGGGGCACATTTACAGAGGAGCTCACCTTGTGAAATAGGTAGAGACAAGGAGAACAGTGTGCAGCCACATGGATCCTACAGCCAGGGCCCAAGGAACTTTCCCCTGCAGGAACTTTCCCCTGGGATCTCTCAGCGGTAAGCACTCCCATCCCCAGAGAAAAAGCCAAGGCCAGGATATAAGAAGGATGGAGACATCTCTCCCTCCTCTGCTTGCAAATCTGGAAGCATTAGGCAGGTTTCTGCTTTATCCGTTAATTTAGTACACATTCAGCAGAGATTCCCAACCGTGGGGTGCTGTTTTACAGCCTGTATTTGTCACACAAACTCACACTTTTTCATATCAACAAATAAGATTTCAGACCATGATTTTTATTAAGGGAAGAATATTCCCTTATATGGATATACTCCAATTAACAAATCCTCTATTTGGACATGTGCTTTACTTTCATATTTTAAAATTAATACCAATAACACTACAAGAAAATTTGTATGAAGATCTTTATGAACATAACTGATTATCTACTCAAAATTTATTCCTTAAGCTACCATTGCCAGAGCAGAAAGATTGTGCGTTTTTAAGGTTTTTGCCACAGTGACTTCTGTAGCACATCAGGGTTGTGCCAATTTATACTCACAACAACACTGTAAGATGAGGAGCCCATTTCCCAGAAATAGTTATTATCACTTTTCTTCAACTATGTCTATCTGATAAACATAAAGGGGATCAAAGACAATTTTACATTTTTTTGTTGTTCTTAATTTTTTTAAAAAAATAAAAATGTTAATTTTAGGAGATTTTCCATAGCTTTTTGGTTGCTACTACTAGTAGCCAGGGTTAGTAGAAGCTATAAAATATTCTAAGTTGTGGTTGCAGGTGGATTTAAATCAATAAGAGGATATGGAGGATGACTTCTTGCCATAAATTCCTTTCCATGCTATACATAATAGATAATTAAAGGGAGGAAATAAAGAAAGCAAGATGGGAGAAAAGTAAGAAAATATTCAAATGGCCATCAATGACAGAGGTTTCTTCTGCCTCAGTTATGTGTGGGGTACTGTATAATCATTATCTTTAACCCAAACAGACCTGCACAGTGTAATTCTCCCCGTCTGATATTTCAGAAAATAAAATCCAGGAGGATTTTATTATCTCCTTCTTATCTTCTGGAAAGAAAATGCTTGCTCAATGCCACATAGCTGGGAGGGGACAAGTCTCATTCTAGCACCTATTACTATGCTTGAAGTCAAACTATGATGCTACTTCTTGCACTCTGCAAAGCTCCAAAAAGCCAAAAGTTATAAGGAAATGAGGAATACATAGGAATTGAGAATTTGCATGAATTTCCTAATTTTGTAGAAAAATAAGGGTGAAGAGAGAGAAGAATTGTCAAAGCAGTCTCCAGCAAAGCTATCTAGTTGAGTGTGTGGCCTGAAATTGGGCAATTTTTTTTTTTTTTTTTTTTTTTTTTTTGCAGCATCAAAGGGTTTGCACTAAGCTAGCCAAGATGCAGCAGCTTCTACGTTCACATTCCCTTCAGAGGAGCCCTGTGAATCCTACAAATGCATCCTCAGAGTCTGCTGTCTTTTAATTCCAGTTGTTGTTCCGGTTTTCTTCATCTAGCAGCAGGCAGGTAGAGAGGGAAGACAAGCGAGATAAGGTCATGCATGGTTCACCACTGTGTCTTTTTCATTCAGTGTGTGACTGAACCATGACACTGTCATTTTCTGACAGATTCTTCTGATATTCTTCCCCAGAGCTACTGATAAGTACCAACCAATTGGAATGTGTCATGTGTCTCTTTAACTGGAAGTGTATTCTGAAAACTCTGAAAAGGAATAGAATTCCAAGATGTTGATTGAAATTTTTGTTACTTAAGGGAATCTTTATGTTATTCCCCTTTAACTTTGTTTTTCTTCACTGTGATTGCTACTTCCTACCCTGCTCTTTATGTAGGCCCTGAAACTCTGCTACAGAGCAACTTCCAAATTCCAGGCCAGGAATCACTAACCTATAAATGCTTGGCAGCTCCTTGTCACCTCAGGAGGAAGTGGCCACTTGTCCCCAGGGAGGGAGCCTTGGCCTTTCCTCAAGTATCAGTACCTATGTAGGAATTTTCCTGAGCTCAATCTCCTGAAAGCAGCATATGATAAGGATATGAAATGAAATAGAACCCACTTGGAAAAGATTTGCACAGAGAACACAAAAATTAATATTGAGGCCCAGTCAATTAGCTTTACAGTCTATCACTTCCCCCTAGACGGATGACAAATTGAGAAGGACAATAGGAGGTGCTCTCATGGGGAAGCTTTGTGCCAATATCCCTGGAGGGAATGAGCATAGAAAGTCCTGCCTAGCTTCACATTCTCTTCCAATACTTGCTACGTGTTTTAGTCAGCTTTTTGCTCCTGTGACTGAAGGACCCAACCAGCACAATTGTAGAGGAGAAAAAGCTTATTTGAGGGCTCATAGTTTCAGTGGTCTTAGTCCATAGAAGGTTGGCTCCATTTCCTGGAGCTCAAGATGAGGCTGAAAATCATGACGGAGAGTGTGGTAGAGGGAAGCAGCTCATATCATGGTAATTAAGAAGCAAAGAGATTCAAGGACAAT